AGAAACCCCAGGTTATAGTCGATATAAATTAGGGAGCCCGAGAGACCTGTTTCATTTTATCTGGGCTTGGCCCTTTGAGGTAACAGTTGCCCAATCCCTCTTCAAATATTCTTTTCTTGTGCTTTGCCAGTTTATGGCCTTTGTAGATCAATCCTTGGGTTTCATTTAGAGGAGAGAGAAAGAGAAAAGGAAAAAAAAACCCCAAGGTTAGTGATTACCTAAATTGGATTAAGTTCTGTCTAGCAGCCGTTTAAAGAAATACTGCTTGCTCTCTAATTACTGTCAACTAGGAATTTAAATGGTCTATTAAATTTAAGCTGACTTTTTCTTTCTTTCTTTTTTTTCCCTTTGATAGTTCCAGCTCTAACACATTCTGCGAGTTTGGGGGCTTTTTTTTGATATTCTTCAAACGTGTGGAAGACATTCTCTGCCTCCTTCCTTTTTAAAAATATTCCATTTCTGTAGCTGGATTATAAATGATAGTATTATATACCGGCTTCATTAACAAGCAGAAGTTTGCAGCCAGGTGCGCCAGCTCTGGCTGGCTGGCGGGCAAGCCAGTTAACTGAGTTCTTGGTCAGAAATGTAGGGACACCTGTGCAAGGCTTTTGGGATGGAGTATGACTGGCTCATCTGTTTTACTCTGTAATAAATCCTGGGTCTAGGATGAAAATCAGCCACTTTTATTCTGTGTGTCAGCTTTTAAATCAAAAAGATGAGTATTGTTTATCAGAGTGGGTGGTGTGTGTGGTTTGGGCTGGGACTATGGTGAGTCGAGTGAGGCATTGAGGGTACAGCATCCCCATACACCCCCGCCGGGAGAGAGTGTTTCGCTTGCCTTGCCCTCTTCCCTCCCCTGCTGTGCTTATGGGTGAACCGTGCCCAGGAGGGTACTGGAGAGCAGTGGAGTCACCAGGTCTCTCCCACTCCTGACTGTGGCCTCTGGGAAAACCTCATCAACATCGACCCCTGCCCCTGCCCACACAGCCTCTCATAACTAGTTGTACAGTTTATTTCATGTATAATCACGTGTTACATAAAGACATGTATTTACTTCTCTCAGCTTTCATTCGCTTTCCGTCACTTCAGTTTTGGGGTGCAGATAGGAGATTTCTCTCAAGCACTCCTCAGTGCTCTGGTTTCACTTCAGCTGGTGGCCAAGGTCCAGCCACACCTCCAGGTCCTCGCTTCTCTCCACACTCCTTGCAGAGCTTTCTCCCGCTGCGCCAGTTCTCTCGGACACAGGCTGAGGTCTGTGCTTTGTGGAAGGCATCTGTGACAGCGCTTGGGTTTCTAGCAAATACGAGGATTAAGGGACCACTTTGGGCTCCCTCAGCCGTTCAGGAACTTGAGTAGATGTCTGTTTCAGCTGAGCCTGGGAGAATATCTGAAGGAATTTGTTTTTGTCTTCTTCCCAAGGACTGGGGGCAAAAATCCAGCGAGGGCTCTGATGTGTGTCTGTATTATTCTGAACCAAGTTGTCTCAAACCCTGTTACAACCTGCTTGTGACCTCAGCTGTGGGAATCCTCCGTGTAAATCCTTTTATGCTTGCCGTTTAATTCTAAATACTCGTCTGGAACGGGTTCAGCATCGTTTCCCAGATGTTTTTAGGGAAGACCGCGTCAGCTGCTGCCGTCATCTTGGAGAACTCTGCTCCGGCTTGCTGGCCGCTGGATGGAGTCCACCACTGTGGGAGCCGAGTGGCCGCTGGCATTGTAAAATATCTGGAGGCAAAAGTAGTGGGTGAGCATGGTCATCCTTTGTGGTGTTCGGTGATAATTAAAAAGAAAAAATCTCGACCAGCCGGAATAGTTGATTCCCTTCAGGCTTCAGACAAGCCCCCAAGATACCCACAAAGGTCGGTATCAACTCTGCAGAGGGGAGAGTTGTTCAGAGAGTCCACACATTGTTCCTGACTGGCATCTTGGAGATGATACAGGTCAGGGAATTGCGATCTGGAAATCTGATCTCGACTCTGCCACGGACAAGCTGCCAGCTGCTCCGTGTTCTCCTGTCTACAAAATAATAAGAAGGTTCTTTTCTAAAAAAGCTGTGATGGCCAAGGAAGCATGGTCTAGAGCAGTGCTTCTCCAAGTGCATATGAATCCCCCAGGGATCTTGTTAAGCCACAGAAGCTGATGCAGTGGGTCGGGTTTGGGGCCTCAATGTCTGACAAGCTCCCAGGTGATGCTAATTCTGCTGGTTCTCAGGTCACTCGAGTCTGGATCAGGGTTTCTCAGCCTTGGCCCTCTTAACATTTTGGGCTGGCTAATTCTTTGTTGCTGGGGGCTGTCCTTTGCATTGTAGGGTGTTTAACAGCATCCCTGACCTCTCCCCACTAGAGGCCTGTAGCGTCCTTCACACCTCCCCACAGTGTGGCAGCCAAAAATGCCTCTGGACTTTGCTGAATGTCTCCCATGGGAAGAGAAGGGGACAAAACCACCCCTAGCTGAGAACATTGGTTCTCACTAGAGCAGTGTTTTCAAGCTTGGTTGTCTGTCAGAATCACCTGGAAGCTATCTAGAAAGTACCATAGCATGGAGTTCTTCTCTTTGAATTCTGGAAAAGTCCTCGTCCCAGACTTGAGTCCTCACGCCAGCCCTCTGCAGCTGTGGGACCAGAGGCAAGCTGCTCCCCTGGCCTCCGACCCAGAAATTCTTCACTTTTGAAATAGGGGTGCTAGGGGAGGGTATATAGCTCAGTGGTAGAGAGCATGGTTAGCAAGCACGAGGTCCTGGGTTTAGTCCCCAGTACCTCCATTAATAAGTAAGTAAATAAGTAAACAAACAAACACAAGCAAACAAACCTAATTACCCCCCAAAAGAAAACATTACTTAAAAAACAGAGGTAATAATGATGCCAATTCTGAGGGTTGCTGGGGAGATCAATGAGCTTTAGAAACTATAGTCATACTATAATCATCTGTAGCTGCAGGGCTTGGTTCCAGGACCTCTCCCCAGCCTCCCTATCCGGAAATCCAAGGATGCTCAAATCCTCTGAGATTCGGTCCTCTGTATCCCAAGACTCAGAACCGCAAGTACATGAGGCCGACTGTATAGAGCGCTATACAGATGTCAGTGGTGAGTGTTATATCACAGGTGCCTACGGAGTTTTATTTTATTGGTTCAATTACTGTATTTATTTTTCCCAGGACTGAATTCACCTTCCCACAGGCCTGCCTGAGTGACCTTCATGCTCTTCCCTCATTATTCCTCCAACCCCGGCAGTGAGGAGCTGTGTGTGTTTTTCTCCAGTCACTCTCTAACGCAAGGGTCTCAAACTGGCAGCCCAGGGGGCCAGCCTTTGTCATCAGACATGTCTGGTTTGGTTTGAGTCATGTTTTGAAAAGAAAGCAGCAGCAGCGGCTCATTGTCCCCAGTATTTATAAATTGGGAGATCTGACAGAAACTCAGCTTTCCAACTTTTCTTTAAAAAACAACAAGAAGATTGAGGGTTCTCTTTAGTTTGGCACTGTCCCCCCTTGGCCGTCTAGCTGTGGTTGTGTTCTCTGCCTTGGGTCCGGTAGGCATTGAGTTTGCCATCTCTGCTTTAGGTCTTCCTGTGTTTTTCTTTAATCGTGACCAAATTCCTATTCCTTTTTTCTCTTTTCTTTATTATGGGTAGGACCACATCTGGCTCACCTTTGTGTCGTGGACAGTGGGTGCTCACTATTTGTGGAAATGAGACATTTTTGTCCCATCCTTTCCTGTCACAGATAAAAAAGGATACTTGTTGAGCTTTACCTCTGAATGCTTGTTTTTCCTTCCCCAAACTTCCTTTCTAACCGGCGCCCACATTCTTTGGAGGAACAGACAAGAAAATGAAGAATGTGTATTTTTCAGTTGACCCTTCGTTAACTCTGCCTTGTAATTGGAGAAGGTGATTTAACCTTTTCTCCCTCAGTCTCGTCTCAACTGTCTGTCTTCAGTGACAGCCCTCGGTGTCAAGTTGCATATATAACATGATGTTAAGTATTTCCTTCGAGACCCTGTGCCCCTTGGGGGCAGGTACTTTATTCTTCTTTGCTGGTCCAGCTTCCTCTACTCAGATCCTGGCACGCAGTGGACCATCTAATGTGTGGTTGTTGAATGGACCTGAACTGAACTCAAGACCCCTGGGAAATGATCAGGTCCCAAGAGCCCCTTCAGGCCTCTGACTCTCCATCCAGTGCTCTTTACACTTGGCAGTGTGACATGGGTGGATGGGCCCTTTCCCATCGTCTCCTTTTCTTGTGAAACAGCGCTCCATCCTGTTCCTGCAAAGAGAGAGGGAAGCCAACTTTTAATAAATCACACATGTTAATCTGGAGCACATGTCCCCACACTGAGAGCTCTGGTTGGCTGCCAGACGGTAGCTTTTGACTGCTCTGTCACCCACCAGGGTTTCATGTGTGTTCCATGTCAGCAGTGTAATTGCTCACATAATGGTCAGTCTCGGCTGCGCTGGTGTCTAGACTTTTTGCTTTATCACCTGGTAGGGACTACAGAAAGAATCACTCTGGTTGGCATGGATGGGGCACACCCAAACAATTCATCCTCCAAGATACTCAGTACTTAAATGGGGCTTCTAGAGATGCAAATAAGATGTGCGGTTATTTCCCCCCAGCTTTGCTTGACTTGTACCCAAGGAGGGGATTTTTTTCTGGTAATTAGACTGTGGTTTGCAGGCCTGGGTGATGATGATGATCAGACAAAATAATTACTTCTAGATGGTTCGGAATTGTCAGGGCTGAGTCCTGTGGACATTTAGTCAACACTGTGATGCAAATTTGAACCGGAGCTTGCAACTTGTTGGAATTATTGCCGCAACTCGGACTCCCAGACCCTTCCGTCTGCACTTGGTTTCCAGCGGAGCGCTGGGAAAGTTGTCTCATTCTTCCTGTTGAGACCTTTCCATAGTCCAAACATGACCCTTAACGTTTTCTTGTTTGTAGGAGTGTCTGTCTCTTGGCTGGCTTTTGTCCCCTGAAAGTTGCGAAGTTTGGTCCTTAATCCAAGCAAGTGTGCTGTGCGCTGCAGCAGGCGCCTCCCTCTTCCGTGTTTGTAGGTTTCACCAGCATGCAGACCCAGGACTCCTCACCCACCTGGTGGCCCCTGGTCCCATGGTGCTTTGGTGGACCCCAGTTCAATCAGAAGGAAGGGCATTTTTCTGTCCCTCAGAAATGGGAGGGCTGCTCTTCTTGCTTGCTTGGAAGTCCACATTTCCTCCTATCATTCAAAATTATTTCCCAGGCACCTTTTATGTGCCCAGCACTGTGCTTGTGGTGGGATGCAGCAGTGAACGAGACAATCAAGGTCTTTCAGGTCTCTAAGGAACTTATATGCTCTCAGGACCAGTCAGACAGTGAATGAGTAACAAACACAGTGACTTCAGCTTGCTTAGGAAGCACCATGAAGAAACGAAGCCTCCTTCCTGAAAGGGCCGGAGTATGCGCGGGCTGCCTGAACCAGGTCAGCAGCTGTTGGAAATGGCTGTTCAGGGAAGCCGCAGGTGGTGGTCATGTGGCAGACACGCGTGTTGTTGGCACAGAGGGTTGAGAGTTCAGGCCTGGAATCAGATTGGCTTTGACTTTTGGTCCCACTTACTAGTCTTCAGACGTTGGGCAAGTTAATTCTTCGGTTTTACTTGCTTCATCTGCAAAATGGGGATAACAAAACGTACCTCATTGATTTAGAGTGAAAATGAGAGATGCCCATTGAGGCTTGGCACCATCTCACGGTTGTGGCCAGCCTCTGATGATGGTTAGTATATTCTCAGCAGCAACACCAATGATAAAATCGTCATGGGAGGAAGTTGATTGGCAAAATAGTCCCACCACTAACTTAAAAAAAAACCCTACTTCTGACTTGGTTTCCATCCTGCGGACCGGGGCTGGGTAGTTCAGATCGGGGTTCCTAGGCTGGCTTAGAGAATTCTGTTTGCTCTGTGTTTCTTTTAGCGAAATGCCAGGGGCTGCTGGCTTACCCTGTCTGTTGGAAGAGTGTCTTGGGTGTGTATGTAATACTGAGCGGGGGGCTTGTGGTTCCATTGAGAAATCTGTGATGGGGAAGTGAGAGAAGACAGAGAGTTGGTTAGTTGAGAGGCTGGTCAGCTAGATGAGGTGGGGCTGGCTCTGAGTTTGTGCTGTGCCAGGATCTGATCCCCCTCCTCGCCTGTCCAAGGTGCCCAGCTTTGTGGGGCTCACGGGCTAGGGGCTGGATGCATGGCTGGCGATGCAGAGAGGTAATCCTGGCCATCAGGAAGGCCAAACTCTTAATTAACTGAGACTGGGTGACTTACCCAAGGCCGGCTGGTACCGGCTTACGTTACACCCCGATTAGGCTCTGGGTGAAAAGCACGAGAAGACTGGTGGTCACAGCTACAAAAGGATAAAACAAAGGTCACAAACCTACCTGTGAGGCCCCTAAGGTGTCCGTCCGCCTGGTGAATGAGTAACCAACTCTTACATGTCAAATGATTTCAACATTTTAAAGTCTGGATTTGGGGGTTCTGTTGGAAAATTCAGATCTGGGAAAGCTGGGCTTTTAATGCTGAGATGGCAGGAACCAGTCTGGGTTGAGCAGTGGCTGCCTCCTCTAGCCTGGGTAGGTCCTGCCCACTCTCTGGGATGTTCCAGGCTCCGCCCTTTGGACCAGTTTGCAATGCATGATGCAAAAAGGGAAAGAAGGTTCTGCCTTTCACCTTCTTTTATTACCGGGGTTTGTTTTCTGGCCCATGTGTCCCTACACAAGGCAGCTCCTATTGTAGAAAATGTACTGAATAAATAAATATGTGTTGCATGAGTGAACGAAGGGACAGTAATTGATAGAACGCTGCACTGGGGATCACAGAGCTAAGTTTGAATCCTAACGTCCTCCTAACAGCTGAGTGATTTCTAACAGATCAAATAACCTTTACTTAATTTTACTTTTTTGTGCGGGGAGGGGAGAAGGGGGCGGTCACTGTCGTTTTTGCTTATTTATTTGAATAAATAATACATTTTCATGTTTCAAAATTCAAAAGGGACAAAAAGGTTTACAGAGAAAAGCATTCCCCTCTGTGTCCCTGGCACCCAGCTCCCTTCCTGTGGAAAACCAGTGTTACCAGTTTCTGGTTTGTCCTTTCAGAGATACTATATGCTTTACAATGAAATCTGCAAATATTCTTCTTCGTCTTTTTTATGTAGATGGAGCCTAATTTACGCATGATTCTAGACTTAGCTTTTTAGCACGCTTCAATCAGAGTGTCCCCTGGAGAGCATCCCAGCCAGTGCGTAGAGTTCTCTCCCCTTCTGTCTTAGAGCCGCAGAGGCTCCCAGAGTATGGGAACCCCTGGTTTACTCAGCCGTCCTCTGTCGCTGAGCCTTTAGGGTATTCCCAACCCGTTGCTATTATAAAGAAAGCTGTAGTAAAAACCCTTGTTATATAACCCACCTGACATGCCTGGAGTGAAATTCCTGGAAGTAGAATTGCTGACAAAGGTACAGCCTTTGTCATTTTTGGTAGATCTTGTCAAATTTGCGTCCATAGCAGTGGCCCCAGACTGCTTTCCCTCCAGCAGTGTGGGAGAGTGCCCCTCGCCCCACACCATGGCCACATGCCCCCTTTGGGAGCCTCCGAGGGCTTTGTGAAGAACCATGTTTTATAAAAGTATTCATACTAGATTTGGGGGCCAGACCATGGTCTACGCTATCTCATTTAATGCGAACAACACTGAGGTAAGTATCACAATCATTTGACAGATGAGGGAACAGATTCAGAGAAGTTGAGTCATTTATCCCGGTCGCCCAGCTAAGAAGCTGTAGAGGCTGGATTTGAACGGGTTTGTCAGATTTCAATACCAGGATGCTTTCATACGGTAAAGCCCTATGTAACTTGAGGTTTATTTTCAGCTGACACTTGCTTATGGTTCTGTGTCTCCCAGCAATAGTACATCTCACAGGGCTGATTGATTTGCTCGCTTGTCAAATATCTGTGGAATTCCAGCACTATACTAAGCTCTTGGGATGCATCTGAGGACGATATAGTCCCTTCCCTATGGATCTCACAAAAACAATAAGTAATAATTCTGTAGTCAATTATTGAGGTAGATTGTGATAGGACAACAAAGGAGGTGAGGAGGGTGCTTTATGGGGTGATATGACTTAATTGGGGGGGAGGGGGGAGGCGGGCCTGTCTGGGCAAGTGAAGGTTGGGTGATAAAGGGTGTGTGGGTTTGAGCCTGGAGAAGTGAGTGGGAAGTATTTCAAATAGTGGGCATAGCATGTACAAAGGTCCTGGGGCAGGGAGGAGCAGGTGGTGTCAGAGGGAGGAAAGGAAGGAATGCCAATGAGCTGGCATGCAGAGTGGAGGGAGGTGAGAGTGTGAGGATGGGGTTAGGGGATTTATTCTAAGACCTGTGGGGAGCCTTTGAAGGCATTGAAGCAACAGCTCCATGAATGTCACGGCACTGGGCTGTTGGGTTCTTGTCATAAGTGCAGCTCCATTTCCTTCTCTAAGGTGTGAATGTTAATACACGCAGGGCTTTCAAACATTTTGAGTGCTACATGCAAGAGGACATACTGAGAGACTTAGACTCAGTACACAGGAGTGCACGTGTAATATACACGTTTCCCCCAAATGAGGTGCACTCTGATATTTTCTATTCTGATCCATCTCATTAAAGCTTTTCTGTCAAGACCCTCTAAATTCACTTTAGAAACACTGAGATAACACGTGTCAAGTGTCTGCCCCACAGTTGGCACCCAGTAAATGTGCGGTCATTCTCCAGTGTCATCATTATAAGGGTCCCTCTGGCCGCAGTTAGACAATGGATGTGTGGAGTTAAATGGTAGTGTCTACATCCTGACAGCGCTGAAGGATGCTGGCTCTTCACTTCTGTGCTCGTGTCCCAGGGGAGGATCTCCCCGCCGGGCTTCCTGCCCGCAGGGGCTCCTGCGGGGGGTGTGTCCAATGGATGGTCTGTCTGGTTTCCCTGGGAACTGGTTTTTCCTCGTTTTCCGGGCGGCACATCAGACTGAGTGCCCAGTTTCCTTTGACTTCTTTGTTATTTACGCTCAGAATGGCTTTTTCCTGGAAACCTCAGAGTCATTAGAAGCCACCCACTTCTTGCTTTTAAGTTGTGCCATGATCCTACTTCCCATTTCTGAGTCGAGGGCTGGAGCCTTGGTGGAATTCATTTGCATTTTCCACTAAATGCACCACCTTCTTCTGCCTGCTGCCCCCCCAACCCCGATCAGCCTGCAGGCTGCTCCCCCTCCCTGTGCCCTGGCCTTGGAAACTGGGAGGAAAAAGCAAGACACCACATTGAAACACATCCTGGACCCTGAGTGGGGAGGTTTTTGAAGACACCCTAGTGAGGTGAGCCAGGGAGAGCAAGACTGATAGCAGGGGTGGTGGTGGTGAAAAAAATAAACAAGAATCAGCACATATCAAGCAATTCCTGCGTTCTGAGACTGTTTGAAGCCTGTTTTAATCAAACCTTCTTTGAATCATCTCATCCAGCCACCCTACCATTCCCAAGTCTTGTGCCTCGGCTGGAACTTGTGACACTGAGCCTGGCTCTGGCACCTTTGCTCCACTGCACCTGTGGGGCCCCTGCACGTTCCAGGAACCAGGTCCAGCACCTCTTAGATCATCTTTCTCACCACCACCACAGCTCTCCAAGTTCCCATTTTTTAGACGTAGAGAGTGCAGTTCAGAGTGGTCCAAGGCCACACAGTGACTACATTCTTTTTTTTTTTTTTTTTGGCTGCAGGAACAAAGCCCCACAACCATGGTGGCTTAAGACGACAGACATATATTCACTCACAGTTCTGGAGGTCAGAAGTCCAGAATCAGAGTGTCACAGGGTCATACTTCCTCCAGAGGGTCTAGGAGGTGAATCTCTTTTTTTTTTCCCCCTGGATACCAATTTCTGGCTGGCATTGGGAGAATCTGTTTCTTTCCTCTCGCTTCTTCTGGTGGCTGCATCTCTCTGGTCTCTGCCTCCGTCTTCACATCTTCTCTGTGTATGTCTGTGTCTCCTCTTCTGTCTCCAGTCACCTGCATCCTTCCTATCAGGATACATGACACTGTATCTGTGGGCCCACCTAGACGATCCAGGATAAGCTCCTTCTCTCAAGATCCTTGACTTAATGACATCTTTTGCCACATGAGGTAATAGTCACAAGTTCTGAGGACTAAGAAGTGAATCTGTCTTTGGGGACCGGTTTTCTGCCTCCCACAGTCAGTGAGTATCAGAATGAGCCTTGATGCCAGGGTTTGTCTGATTCCAAAGCATCCAGTGGCCACTCACCCTTCAGAACTACAGGCATTCACGTTATTTTTAATGGCATCTTAACTGTTCCATTTAGGGGGTACCACTCTTGGTATGACCTGTGCGCTCTGGATGGATATTTTGGAGTTTCCTGTTTCTCGTTACTGCAGAGAATGAGCGTATCTGCCAGTCTTGGGGACTACGTGACTGCTTCTGGAGGGTGCGTTCTCAGAAGTGGAACTGCTGGGCCAAAGGGCTGGAAATTCTTTGCTTGCTTCACTCTGTGACTGTCATCACCCCCATCCCCCGCAGCCCAGAAACAGCACTGCAGAAAAGGAGTTGAGCAGCATCGTGCCACAGTAACACCGTGAGCTACCGAGGGCCCTAATGCACTGTGACCACCACCGGGGCTCCGAGGCCTGACCTGCTCCCCAGTGGAGTATTTTCTAGACGTGGCCGAGGTATCCATAAGCAGGAGGAAGTGTTGCTGAGTTCCCACTTCTGTCCTTGCTTGGAGATTTAGAAATAACAGCAAGGTATTTTATTTGTTTAACAAGCACTTATGAGGCGTTTGCTGTTTGCCACACACTGTTCTAGCTAAGTGCTCTACAAATATGTATTCATTTTGTCCTCACTCAACCCTGTGGTTGTCATGCTAGAAAGCTCATTTCATGCAGGAGGAAATTGAGCCTCAGAGAGGTCAAGAAACTTGCCAAGGTCACACAGACAGTAAGGAGTGGAGTGTCTAACTAAGGCAGTCTGTGCTTTATCCTTTGAGTTTTTTTTCTCCTCATGCTCTCCTGTCCCCATCAAATGTGGTCTTCGTGTTCCTCATGTCTGTTTATCTATCTCTGCAGCATGAGACTTGAATTTTGATATGAAATCTTGCAACTGGATGTTCCTGACTAACTTGGTAGATTTGATTCTGATTTTCTGGCTGAGTTTGGTAGCCTGGCAAAGTGGAAATGGGCTGTAGAGTTAGGCCAGTCATCAGTCCACGATTTGCCACTATTAGCTGTGTGACTTCTGGCAGGTTACTTAACTTATCTGATCTTCAAATGGGGTTTTGTGAGGGTTGAGTAAGTTTATCCACTGGGACGGTGCTTGTCATCACGTCAGACAGGCGGTTGAGATGCCTTATTAGTTGCTATCCTTTCCTTCATTTTTATCTTAAGCAGTGCACTTGGGTTTGGGGGTACAGATCTAAGTCCCGATGCCTGTCTTCAAGGAGTTTACAGAATGGCCTAGGTGGGAGCGGGGGAATTTTCTAGATCAGGAGTCAAGGAACCTGAGTCTAGCCAGTCCTCTCTCCTCCCTCAGAGATGCTGGACGTTCCTCTGTCCCTCTGGGCCTCACTTTCGTCACCTGTGAACGGGGGCCTGGACTGGCTTCACTCCAAAGCTCCATCTGTCTTGTCATTTCCAAGTTGTTCTATTTAGGACAAGCCTGTGTCTGAGGAGCCAGCGTTGTAGCAGGTGGATCCAGGGTATGTCAGATTTTCCCTTCTGGCCACTCTGGTCAGCCCACTTCCTCCCTGTGCTCTGGGGAGGGCTCTTGGCTCCGTCTAGAAGTAGGAATGGCAGAAAGGGAGACAGCTGCGGGCTGCCTAGATCTGAATGTGGCAGGTTTTGCAGGGGGACACATGAGTCAGAGGCATCTCCTCGTTGTGTGTCACTGGGCAGCCGATGCGAGGCCGAGGAGGCTGCAGTCATCATCCATTTGGCTGAAAACCACCCTTAGTTAAAAGGAGTCTTGTGTGTGGCTGGGGCTGCCCAGGTGTCTTGCTGGGCGCACACATGGCTTGGAGTGGGAGGCCTGGAGGGTCGCGAATGGAGAAGTGGAGGGGGACCGGAGCCCGCCCTGTGACCCTCAGTGCTGCCCAGCTTCCCGGAGCAGTGGTTGTTTCGACAGGAAGCTGGAAGGCGAACACCTGAGTGATCCATTCTGCTCGCCTCTCCACTTCCCTGTACAAGTGCCACTGAGTGGGCGGCAACTCCATCACCTGGAGTTTAAGATGCTCATAAAAGGAGTTAATGTCCTATAATTATCCAGATGAATTGCACTTAGCAGGCCCATTTAAAGAAGGGCAGTGAAATGGGGCCTCTCTTACTGGGTGACCTTTGTCGGGCAAGTTAAATCTCAGAGCCAGCTAGTTTAAGGCTTCTGAAGGGTCTTGCGTGGTTTTATTATTTCTTTGCCATATTCATTGATTTGCATAGATCTTTCCACCTTCCAGGGGCACATGTGGAGATACTGAGGCCCTCTGCAACTGAGCAGGCCTATTATGACTTCACCAGCACAGTCAAGCACAGTCTAGAAATCATTTTTCTGTAGGACTGGCCTCAACCCACAGTCGCTGCCTTCTCACTTTGGGGTGACCACACTGTTAGAATCAAAAAGAGATCTGCAAACACTTGTGAATGGGACCTGCAGGGTATAGCTATTGCTATGGGGTCCTGGGATTGTTTTTAGGATGGTTTGGCCGGAAAGTCCCAGCCAACTTCCTCCAAGAGGAGGGCTGCTCAGCCCAGCCCAGGAGTTTTCGATAAAAGCTGCCTTCTTTTTTCAGGTGTGGGCTAACGTCGTGGATTTGAGAAAGCCTGAGGGCCCGAAGGCAGCCCTGGGAGAAGCCCTTTCCGTGAGCAGTCGGAACCTCCTGGTCCAGAGGAGAAGCCATCTCTTCATCTAGACTTATGACCCGCAGCTTCGCCCCCAGCCTGCCCGTCGAGTTCCCCAAGATGGGCTCCTTCCGCAGGCCCAGACCGCGCTTCATGAGCTCCCCGGCACTCAGCGACCTGCCCCGCTTCCAGGCAGCCCGCCAGGCTCTGCAGCTGAGCTCCAATTCAGCCTGGAACAGGTAAAGGAGGCGCTGGGTGGGTAGGGGTGCCAGAGCCAGGGCAGGGCCAGGGGCTGACTGCGCTTTAGCATCTCCTGAGATCTCAGCTTCAAGAGGTCGTGAGCATAGGGGTGACTGAAGAGAGCACTTCCCCACAGAGCCTGTGTCTGTTAGCTTTCCTTATTGTTTTTTTTTTTAATATGCATTTTTTTTTATTGAAGTATGGTTGGTTTATAGTATTGTGTTAGTTTCAGGGGGCACAGAACAGTGATTCAATTTTTTTTCTGATTATATTCCATTATAGGTTATTACAAGATATTGAATATAGTTCCCTGGGCTATACAGTAGGACCTTGTTACTTACCTATTTTAGGTGTAGTAGTTTGTATCTGTTAAACCTATATTCCTAATTTGGCCCTCTCTCCTTCCCTCTCCCCAGCTTTCCTTGTTTTGAGGGAAAGCGGACCACTGGGCTCTCACAGTCAGTTAACCAGCCCAGAACAATTGGATCTGAACTTACTGTTCCTGTTCACGCCCATTAGTCATGTGCCAAATTGTCAGCTGACCTGAGTTGGGCTATAGAAGTAACCTCAAGTCACCTGTTAACTATTTGGGACGATAAGACATACTCTGTGAAAAGCTAACTAAGCAGCATGACCCAGGGGTGATTCGTACCTCTGAGCCTCAGGTGGTGGGAGAGAAGACGCAGCCTTTGTAAGGTGTCTGGCTAATCGTTTGTGCGCCAAACACTGCGTGGAGGCTGAACCCATATTATATTCTGCCCTTCTGTGAGCTGCTGTTTTTCAAATCAATGTGGTTCCCCTTTGGATAAATCAAATACATTGTTATTTTAAAGCATTATTGAGTTTTGTAGTTTGGATCATGATGGATTTCTTTTTTTCAGTAAATACACAACTCTTATGATGAGGAGGGAGGGGGTTCTTAGAAATGTTTTTTTTTCATTTTTTTGAACTTTTTATCATGAAAAACGTCAAACACACATGCAAATATACAGTAGCAAGACGAGTATAACACCCCATCTCTGTGTGTCTATTACCCAAATTCAGAGATTATAAATGCCTGGCCAATTTTGTTTAATCTGTATCTTCCACTCTCCTATATTATTCTGAAGCAAGTCATAAACATAATTAATAGTATTTTATTAATAAATAGGAAATGTTTTGAGGTTAAGTGGAGCCTTCGTCTTTACAAAAGCTTGGTAACGGCAAGCTTGTGATCAGCTCTTTGCTGAAATACTGGGCTGGGGTCCAGAGAATGTGGAGTCAAGACTTCCCTGCGGCCCCTCCAGGGACTAACTCTTCTGCCCGGACCCCCGCAGGAGTGGGAGGGGAAGGAAAACTGAGGCCAGCCCCTCTGAAGTTCTTCCAAGGAAAGTACTATTAAGAGACAAAGACAATTAAAGTCCATCTTTGAATTTTTTTTTTTTTAATTTTAAAAGGCAAGGAATTATCCTTTCACACTGGCCACAGGCCTCCAGGCTGCCCTGTGAAGACAGGTCTGAGTGAAAGAACCCCAGGCCTAGGGCAGCTCCCGCTTGCAGGAAATGCCATTTTGGATTCTTGCAGGCCCGGTGGTGCTGGCCACGCAGTTGCCTGAGAGCAGATCCCCCTGCCTGCCCTTCAGGAATGCTGTTCACCAGCGGGGCCAGTGAGGCGAGGGAGGAGGGCCTGCCAGCCTTCGAGAAAGTGGGGGGAGAGAGGCGACTTTGTGGTCCTCTTGGCCTCAGTCTTCCTTGCTCTCCAAGGACCCTTGGCTGGAAGTGATGGATTCCGGGGATAGAAAATGTGGCCATGTTGGTGGCACGGGCTCCCCGGCCCCTCCTGCCTTGAGCCCTGAACTGCTTGTGGAGGAAGCCTCTCACCAGGGGTCGTTTCTGTTTCCCCCGCAGCGTCCAGACTGCCGTGATCAACGTCTTTAAAGGGGGCGGCTTGCAGAGCAACGAACTCTACGCTCTGAATGAAAACATCAGGTACGTGGCTGGCCAAGCGGGGCCCTTCCCCCGTGGGGCTGAGCTGGGGCGGGTGGGGGCTACCCCACCGGGAGCCTTCCCTTAAGTTCTGCTGTCTGCTTGTTTCCTGCTGCTGCTTCTGTTGGCTTTTGTGATGCTCTTATGGCTGCTAAGTTCTGGGTCTAGACGTGTGCTCCAGAGAGGGCTTGTCCATTGGTTCGCGTGTATAGTGTGTATGGGGGGTGGTGGGGGGTAGAGGGCTGACGGCTGGTAGCTGTCATTTATTCTGTAAACATTCCTTGTCCCCTGCTTGGTCTTTAGGGACCACAGTAGGCAAGAGGGCCTGGCGGTTGGGACCTGACTGCTTGGGTTTTATTGCTGTTCTTCCTTTTACTAAGTGGCTTACCAACTTCTTTATGCCTCAGTTTCCTCTAATGAGAAACAGGGATAGGAAATGTGGCCACTTCCATAAGATTCTTGTGAAGATTAAATTGACTTATTAAATAAACTGTCTACCAGAGCAGGTCCTGGGATACACAAGCTCTTACCATCATTGTCAGGGATGTTGCTCTCATTACTAATAGGTTTTGGTGATGAAACCCTCAATAAGACATGGTTCTTGAGGAGTTTAATGTCTTCCAGAATCTTCCCAGGAGAGTAGTGCCTGCTTTTCATTCATTCATTCATTCATTCATTCATTCATCAAATATCTGAGTGCCTCCCTATTAGACAGGCACTAGAAAGACAAGAATGAGCAAAGACAGACATGGACCCTGCTCTCCTGGAATTTATATTCCGTTGGGGAGATAATTGTTAGTCAACTGATCACATGGGTAAAATATAAAAATGCACCTGTGACGGCTGCTGCAACACAGCTGATGTGATGAAGGCGTGTGTTAGCAGGACTTGATCTTGCCAGGGAGGCAGGGAATGGAGATGTGATGCTTCGTGCTGTCATCAGTGGGCATTAACTAGGTGAACAGGGCTGCAGGTGGTGGCGACTGCAGGGGCAGAGGTCCTGTGGTGGCAATGAGCAAGGAACTTAAAGAAAACCCACGTGCACGGAGCACTGAAGGTTGGGTGGTGGTGTGGTTGGGTTTGTGTTTTGGTGGAATGAGGGCAGAGAGGCCGGCAGGGCCCAGAGCCCCGGGGTCTCCCGGGGACAGGAGGTTGAACATCAGGTCTTTTAATGCCCTGGTGTTCATTCCTCTCGGGTGTGTTAAGTGCAGAACATCAAGGCTAAAGACCCAGCCCTGGAGTGGGCAGAACATTAAACAAGGCCATTATTTGGGGCTTGTTTACACTTAGTTGAGGCCTCTGTTAAGGGTCATTGAGGTGTTTTAAGAGCCCTGCTTTCATTAAAGCCTTTTGAGCTCAGAAGTAAACAGAGTTGTGTTAAATTTCTGCCCACGGGCTTGAATTTCACGTAATAATTACACAAATATGAAAAGAGATAACAGAGGTCATCTAGTCCAAGGCCTCCTTTTACAGAGGAGGAAACTGAGGCCCCGAAAGTTGAGTGACAGGGCCAAAGCTGGGTCAGCCAACCTCCTGGTTGCAAGAGCTGAATTTTCCTCCAAGAACTAGATCCTGGCCTCTCCGTGAGTGTTCCTTAGCTCACAATAGACGTATGAATAAATAAAACAGTGACTCAGGAACGTGCTAATTGTTCCTCACATCAGGAGACTGATCCTGAAATTGTACTTAAGACCTTTGTTTGTGGGCAGCTAGGAAAAGTACAGGCACGCAGGTTTCCCCAGCCCTGTTAACCCAGGGGCTGCTAAGTCAGAGTCCTCCGGTACCCGGCAGGTCTGAATGGGTGAAGCCAGCCTGGAGGATGGAGGTGAGAGCTCACCCTCTGTCCAGGAGGATTCCCCGTCCCCCTGGAAGAACGCAGGTCCAGTGAGTGACATGCCATCTTATTTCCCCAGAAGAACCAGAAATTGAGGTTTTTATGTGAAATGTCCTGTCTTTTAAATGCTGGTCAATAATCCAAATGCCCCCAAACATTGGTACAGGCCAAACAAAACACGTCTGTGGGCTGAATTTGACCAACGGGCTGCCCGTTTATGAGATGAGCTGTAGCTCGAGTGGGCGGGCCTCGCTGGTGAGGGGTGTTGCGCCCCAGATTCTGGCGCTAAGGCCACCCCGGCAGGCGAGAAGGGAGCAGACGTGGCTGGAGGTGCCAGGGAAAGTGGTGGGCGCCTCTCACGTTGAATGTGATATTCAACCCTCCTCACAGTCCTGGGAGGCAACCGTTTTTCCAGTAGGTATTTTAGCTACAAAATGGTGGGTAAGAGAAACAAAATAACTTGTCCAAAGTCACACAGCTATGAACGGTGGTCAGGATGTAAGTCCCTCTCTGACTTAAGTCACTTGTGTTAGTTTGCTCAGGCTGCCATACAAATGCCATCAGCTGGGTGGCTTAAGCAGTAGACAGTTACTTCTCACTGTTCTGGATGCTGGGAAGTCCAAGGTCAAGGTGCTGGCGGATTGGGTTCCTGGTGGAACTTCTCAAAGGCCCCTTCTCCAAATACCATCACCTTGCCCAGGGTGGGGAGGGTGGTAGGGCTCCAACATGTGACTTTGGTGATGAGGGGGACAATCTTCAGTCCGAGTAAAACCCACGCTCTTTGCATTATATTGTAGGGTCAGAAAGAGAGGTTCTAGGCTGAAAGAAGGGTTAAGCCGATGGTCTTGATCTTTCTTTCTGCCTTCGTTCCTTTCCTGAGGCCTCCGGGACCCCATCTCTCACAATGTGCTGTGATTCTAGCACTCCTCTGAGGGCCACGACACTCCCCCAACCCTCCTTTCCATTGTTGGGTTTAAGGGGGCTGCTGGATGTTCCTCACTCTGTTTTGAGCAATTTTCAAGCTGCAGAGAAACACATGGTTGGGTCTGAAGCTAATTGCCCGAGATGTGAATGGAGCACAGCATTAAGTCAAAGCTGTCAAAAACCAGAGCTTTGATGAGCCATGCTCTGGACCCTGCATCCCCTGTTGTTCTTTAGGATGGTGGTTAGGATGGAGATGGGTTTTCCCATCACAGACACTTGGAGAATATAGCTGAGAACATGAAACACATCCCAGGTGTACATGTGACCTGGTGTCCCAAGCTGAATAAAGTGAACCCATGTTTGCAAGAGCTGACCTGGAAATAAACACAGCTGCCCTTATTTCAGGAATTGAAATGCCAAAACTGACATGCTACCTTCTGGTTACAATCAAATAGACAGGTTTTGATTTCTCTTTTCTCTCTTTTGTCTTTGGCAAGGCCTGTTTGCAGAATACAATGGTAAAGTTACCAGGGTTGAGGCCCCATCAGGTGGGGGAGGGCACAGGCGGTAGGGATGGAGGAAGAAGGCGTGAAAGGAGAGAAGGCTGTTATTCTCAAGCCCAGTTTTCAATTATGACAGTTTCACCTGCAGGAAGATCTGTGCCAGGTTTAAGAGAATTTTTTGACCTGTTAGGAGAGTAGCTTTTGGATTTAGAGAGACTAGAGATCAAGATTAGACTAGCTATGTGACCGTGGGTGAGTTACTTCCTTTTTCTAAGTCTCTGTTTTTTCTTTCATAAAATGGGGATAGTAGTGGCATCCACCTCGTGATGGTTGGGAGGCCTGGGATGATGCTAGAAATGTTGTTCATACAAGGTTTGGTGCCTAATAGATGTTAGAGGTTAGTACTCCTATTGTGGAAATTTGGCAACAATAAAGTGATGAATGATGGACGAGTACCACACATGAGAGCCCAGGGCAATGGGGTGAACTGCCCTGTGTACTGTATCAAGGGTTCTCTGGCTGTTTGGATGAGGTGAGCTGACTTTGAACTAGAGAGGTCCGGACCAGGCTCCTCCAGGAATGTACTAGGCTGGAAGTTTGAGTGAGGCTAAGTTCTTACAAGGAGAGCCAGCTGTTTCTCCTTTCTGCAGAGGAAAGAACAAGAGGAAATGACTATCCCAGTTCTTCATTCAACTCCAGCCAAACAGTAATAAACTTTGATGGATTATCCAAGTCCAATGTCAAGTCCTAAATCAACTTCCCCAGGTCCCCCCAGCCAGCCCTGGCCGTCTTTCTGACGGTGGATTCAGTGTGTTCCCTGGGAAATGGGAACTCATTTAAAGATTAGCCAATGCAAAGGATGTCCAGGGAAGTAACTTTTATGTAACTGGGTCCTGAAATGCAGTCATTGCAAATAATTGGTCTTTTCTTCTAAGACATGTCATCAATCAGAATATTTTATATTGTAACTACCTTAGAAAACAGGGCTTGCGGATGGTTCTATCCCGACAGGAGAGAAAATGACCCCTCAGAATAGACATATTCTCATGAAATCACGTCATCACAATCTACAATTCAGCCCGTCCCAAGTGTCTGTCTGCGGTGGTGTGGGCTGGGCCTGGATATCTTCTTGGTTTAAATTCTCTTTGGGACACTGCTGTGGTTTTTGAGGCCCCTCTCCAGCCTCAGGCCTGATGTGGCTGCATTTTGGCAGTGGGGACAAGTCTGGGTTCGAGGTTTGGGTTTTCATGAGTTTTCCCGGGAACTGGAATGGCCAAACTCAGATACTGAAGCATGCTGTTCCTAAACACTCTTTTCAGCCAACAATTCCAAGGACTATAGAAAGTTAGAAAAGTGTGAGAAAGTTGTGATTTGTGTGTGCTGGTTCTTAAAAGAACCCATGCAAGTAGGTTCTTAAAAGTGCACTCACCTTTTGATTGGCTGGGGCGGGGGTATGTAGAGGAAGGAGTCATTGATGCTTTTATTCATTTAATCAGGGACGATGTTTTAAGTGGGGTGATGGGAGAATCCAGATGCGGGGGGTGTGCGGAGGGAGGGCAGGGAATGGGCGCACGGTTGGGTGTCACCATTCCTCAGTTGAAATCTGAAGGCGGAGCACTCGGGAGTCAGGTGCAAAGGGCAAGTGAGGATACAACTAACCATCTTGCCACCGGCGTCTCCATGCCCTCCCACCCCTCCCTCTTCCTGGGGGCATTTTTTTTTCTCAGCAGAAATAAATGCTC